CTTTAGCGGTGAGTAACAGCCCTCGGAGGTTGAGGATGGGTAATTTACTGAGCGCGGAGGCGCGGCCCTTGGTAAAGGCCCTTAGGAAGCTTTTAAAAGCTAGAGACCTCAGGGTAGGTCAAAAAACACTGGAACTATTCATAGCAGAGGTAGATAGGATGGCTCCCTGGTTTTTACCCACAGGGCATTTAAACCTGCCGTCATGGGAGAAGTTAGGTGGGGACCTCGCCTTGGCGGAATTGGGAGGCGATATTTCGCCGGCTATTCGCCCCCTGTGGGAAATGATACATGCGTGCCTTGACTCCTATGCCGAGTTGCGCCGTGAATTGTGTGTGTGCGCCGCTCGAAAAAAGCAGAGAGAGGAAAAAGGACCCCCGAGCGCTCTCTGGCGGGGAGGAGATAGAGAGCCATCCGCTCCGCCCTGGAGCTCTTCTCCAAAAGCGGCTCCCCGCCGAGAGGCCACTACAGGGAACCCTCCCTTCTCTCAGCCGGCACAGGAAGTGACGCCCCGTTCCACTCTGTCGCGACCGCCGTCCTATGACGTTGCGCCGCGGGGCGGACGGTATTTTCATGGGCGGCTACTCTGCCGAGCAGGCTGAGAAAAATGCCGGTCGAGGAAACAGGGGCTGGGGATTTAGCTTAGCGGCATAAGCGCCTGCCTTGCAAGCAGGCAGTCGTGAGTTCGATCCCTGGTACCGATAAAAAAAAAAAAAAAAAAAAAAAAAAAAAAAAAACGAAAAAGACCAAAAATAAAAAAAAAATAAAAAATAAAAAACAAAAAGGGGGAGTAAGCCAAGGCCTGCCTCCAAAGGCGCGGTTATCTACGGCATGACAATGGATGGGCCCGGATCCAGTAATTAGCTGGAACCGAGGCGCGGTTTGTGTTTTTCCGCAGGAACCGAGACGAGAACCACTGTGGGTCCCAGAGAGGTTGACGCGACAAGTCCCTCGACTGAAGATCAGGCCTGTTCCACCAGGGGCCAACCGCAGACCCAACAACAAGATGAGCCCTAAAAGAACTGCAGGACAATCCCTTTTTGGGGAGCCTGGAATGGCTTGCTCCCCTATGTTTTACCATTGTTAGGTCCCCTGTGCTCCTTGCTTCTGTTCTTACTTGTAGGACCATTCTTGCTCCGATGGGTTACATCATTTATTAATGGGCGCCTTGCGGCAGCCCGGCGTCAAGTACGCCTGGTTGCCCATGCGGCCCTGGCAGCAGCCCGTGATGGGCACAATGACCCCCAGGCTTACGCATGGCTCGCTCGACTGGCCTACGACCGAGTCTAGGTGTGGCGGGTCTTCCGCATTCCTTCCCTAATGACACCACACAGCAGGGTAGATGAGTCAATGACGGGTAAGAGCGTGCCTCCCCAGCACGACTCGACCTAAGCCAGGCCCTACCCCATGGTGCACAAAAGCCACTGGATTACTAGAATCTGACCAGATCTAGATGCCTCTCCGAGGGGATCACACGGAGGGGCATGAGTGCATGCCTATGTGCATCCAGGTTCCGTCCAGTTCACTCCTGGCCCTGGAAAAAGGACGAGGGTCTCAAGGCCTTGGCAGACCCGGGGGCGGCCGACCAGGGTCCAAGCCAAAGGCCTACGGTGGGCCTCAACACAGGGCATAAGCCTCTGCACTCGATCCAGGGCGGGCTGCGATGCATACATTCATTCAAAGTAAATAAAATAGGGGGAGATGTTGGGAGCCGCGGCCGACACCGGTCGCCTTACTTGGCGGACGTAGGGCCTGTGGGTGGGAGCAGAGCCTGAGCTAGATTGCCCCTCCCATCGAGTGAGCCAAGTTGGCGCCTGCTTCCTGCCCCCTGATTGCCCTGGCGACTTAAACAACCCGCTCTGTAAGATAGTCTGCCTAGCAACAACTGATGTTAGCCAGTCAGCCCGCATCGCGCGCTTTAAACTGATTGGCCACTGTTACCCTATAAAAGTGAATGCCTCTCCCGCCACGAGAGGAAGCACAGAGAGAGATAGAGAAAGTCCACCGGCGAGAAAGGGCTGGTGGCAGAGAGGAGGCCTCACGGGGCCCACGCGGAGACAAATAAAGGCAAGGTTGCACACCGCCAGACTTTGTCGTGTGTCTTTCCTGCCGGCCGGGAGCGACCCCGACAGTGATTATTCTGCATAACTTTTCTAAGTCAGTACTTATAAGTGAAATTGGTAGATAATAAAGGAGGCCTCCATCCACTTGCTAAGTACTATGTAACATGAGTCTCGGTGTTTCTAGCAGTTCATTTGTTTTAACCATGAACTCCTCACCAGATGACACTTATGCCTGCTTGGCAGAGAATGGATTGTACAGGAAATTAAGTGGTTTTGATCTCCAAAGAATTGCTGGAGTCAAACTGAAACAGGTAAATGCTAAAAAATTGTCAGGGTTTTCATAGATTAAAAACTCACTTACATAATTAGTTGAAGAATGAGTTGATGCATTTGGAAGATTATTCAGAACATACAGCTAACTGAATTATATTAGATATTTATTTCTTTACTGTTATACAGGTACAAAATACCTGACTTACAGAACTTAATATAAATATATTCTTAATCTCATTGTTTCCATGAGGGAAGTTTTGTTTTGACTATTTCTAAAGCATAAATATCTTGCAAAATAGTGAAAAGGGTAAGGTAACTTTTTTATGAGGTCAAGGAGCCAGAGAGCATTTTCAGAACCTGAGAGAAAGGATCCAGGAACCAGATTTGGTTCATGGGTTCCAACACACATGGATGCAGTGTATACATATAGAAGTGATCGTAGTAATATCCTACACATTTCTGCAGCCAAAAAGGTGTTAACGAATGGATCACCAGGCTTTAGGGAATATATGACTTCTAGTAATATTAAAATCCTGAAGAGCTAAGTGCCAATTAGTGACACAGGAACTATTCGGCAAGGAGAACTTAGAGTGTGAAGTCCTCTGTGTCCCTGCCTCATCAGAAAGAAATGATTAATTGGATTAGGAATTTGGTTCCATTTCAGCAATAATTGTCACCCCTATGCTGGGCAATATGATCACTTTCAGAATTCAGCATTTTTATGAGCCTGAATGAGTAGCAAGCTTGTCTTGGAGTACTGATGCTTGCTTTTATTTCATCCTTACTCTGTTGCAGAACATTACTATCATTTAAATGTAATGTCTTCACTTTACACAGTAACTGTGCTCCTTTTGTGTTCACATACTGGGTTTCTAGGTGGAAAATTAATAGAAATGAGTGAAAATCATGAAAATGAAGTCTTCTGCTTCTAACACAGACTTTTGAATCTCTGTTCTGTTGTGTCCTGTCCTGGCCTGTTCTCAGAATATTTTCTGACATCAGTGGATTTTTTTATTCCTGGAGGATTGAACCTGAATCCTGAAAACATTTGTAGCCCATTATGGAATGAGTCCACTGATCCTTGAAATAAAGCAGGGGTAGCCATGAAATGGCAGACATAAATAAGAAATTTAGAGAAGAGCTAACACCACCACTTCTCAAAATTTAATGAAATCAAATGGGAAATTGTACTTCTCAATTCATTCCTGGAAGCAAGCATTACCCTGATACCAAAACCAGAGAACAATCCAAATAAAGAGAATTACAGACCATTCTGCCTAGTGAACATTGAAGCAAAAATCCTCAATAAGATACTGGCAAACAGACTGCAGAATATCATTAAGAAGATTTTACACCACGATCAAGTGGAATTATTTCCTGGGATGCAGGGGTGGTTTAACATACATAAAACCATACATATAATACATGGTATTGACAAATCCAAAAGCAAAAATCATTTGATCATTTCAATACATGCAGAGATTTTGCCAAAGTCCCTCACCTATTCATAATAAAAAACCTACAAAAATTGGGAGAGATGATCTTTATCTCAATCTGATAAAAGCCTTTTATTACAAACCAACAGTCAACCTCATACTAAGTGGACAAAAACTGAAAGCTTTCACTCTAAAATCAGGAACAAAACAAGGATGTCTACTATCTCCACTCTTATTCAATATAGTCCTGGAAACTAGCTGGAGCAATTAGGCAAGAGAAAGAAATAAAAGGAATAAAGATAGGAAAGGAAATATTAAACTATCATTATTTGCAGAAGACATGATACTCTACTTAGAAGACCCTAAAAATTCCACCAAAAGACTTGTAGTTTGAGAAGCAAATTCACTAATATAGCTGGTTACAAAGGCAACACTCAACAATCAATAGACTTCATAAACAAGCATAAAAAACTCATGGAAAGAGAAATCAAGGAAACAATAACTTTTACAATAGCATCCAACAAAATGAAATACTTAGGAATCAGTCTAACAAAGGATGTAAATGACCTCTACACTATAAACTACAGTTCTTTCAACAAGGAGACTGAAGAAAATATTCTAAAATGCAGAGCTATCCCACAGTCTTGGATAGGGAAATTCAATATAATGAAAATGACCATACTTCCAAAGCTATTGTACAGATTCAGTGCAATCCCAATCAAGACCCCATAGCATACCTCAAAGAATTACACAAAATAAATCCTAAAATTCATCTGGAACCAGAAGGGACATAGAGTAGCAAAGGTGATCCTGGCCAACAAAGAAAAGACAGGGTTCATCAAAATCCCTGAGTTCAAATTGTACTATAAAGGTATTGTGATTTAAAAAAAAAAGGTGTGGTACTGACAAAAAACCAAACAAAACCAGACCCAAAGATCAAAGGAACAAATTAGAAGATGGAGAAACAACCCCAGACCACTAAATCATCTTATCTTTGACAAAGGTGCCAAACAGAGTCATTGGAAAAAAAGCAGCCTCTTTACTAAATGGTGCTGCAAAAACTGGCTCTATACATTCTGAATATTATCTTTCAACATGTATTAAGCTAAGATCAGAATAGATGAAAGATCTTATATTAAAGTAGAAACATTAAATCTGCTGCAAGATAGAGTAAGTAAAACTCTTGAAGACATTGATGTAAGCAAAGACTTTATGAAGAAAACATGGAATGAACAACAAAAATCAAAGAGAATTAAGTGAGAATCTCACCCTACTGAAAAACTTTTTAACAGCAAGAGAAATCACTAACAGAGTGAAGAGACAACCCACAACTTGGGAGAAAATGTTTGCCAAGTGTTTCTCAGACTAAGTATTACTATTGAGAGCACGGAAAACTAAAAATTTTCAGTCTTCCCAGATATAAAGACCCAATCCAAAAATGTGCATCTGAGGTGAAATACACAGTTCTCAGATGAAGAAATAAAAACAGCAAATAAATATGTGACAAAATGTTCTGCATCACTCGTCATTTAACAATTGCAAATTAAATAACACTGATAAGTCACCTTGCCCCAGAAAAAATGCCTACTGTCAAGAAATCAAGCAATAACGAATGCTGGAGGGGTTGTGGGGGGAAAAGCAACCCTTCTCCATTGTTGGTGGTATTTTTTAACTTTTAACTTTTTAACTTTCAAATAAAATGGGTTTGGGAGAAAAAACAAGGACTGAGGTAAAGACTTCCAGTGCAAATACTCATCAGACGAGCTGAGGTCAACATTCCAGAAAATAGCCAGCTCCAGAAGCCTCCACCATGTTTCATTGGGGACCCACACTTACAGGTGGGTTTATTTTCTGTAATTATTCTTGGTGGGGAAGACAGGCAGGGGGGCAGGAGCCAATCAGTGATGAAGAGACTGGCTGTAAGAACTGTCCAATCAGGCGGGCCAAGGTAGGCGGTCTCTTCCAGTGTCATGGCGTCAATTGCAAGGCCAGGGCAAAAAAGAGAGCGCTAGATGTTTGCTAGACCACTATTTTTTGCTTCTATTCTCTGTGGACTGCTTAAAAAGAACCTGGGAGACCTCCAAACTACGCAATGGTGATGTTATGGGATGGGAGCAGTGAAATGGGGTGGAATCCGGTTGAGACTAGTTAGAAGTGGTGAAAATGGGCCTGGGGTTTTCCTCAGCGGCATGAGCGCCTGCCTTAAAAGCAGGCAGTCATGAGTTCGATCCCCAGTACCGATAAAAAGGAAAAAGACAAAAAAAAAAAAAAAGTGGTGAGAAGCAGTTGTGCTGTCTAGAGCCTGTGTGCTTAGCCTCAGATCCTGAAGTCCTCTAGTGCGAGCAGTGAGTGAGTCATCCTCTGTCCCTTTTACCTCTTGCTGGTGCCAGGACAGTTCTGGGTCCCTAGAACACTGTCGCTACTGTGATACCACCAGGCCACTATGCCATTTTTGAAATCGCCTGCTACCCTTGCTCCTCCAACTGTCTGGGCCCAGAAAGGGGCATGAGGAGACCCTGATTCCAATGTGGTTTCAAGCTGGGTGCAGGTGTAATAAGCTGGGTCTCTGCCCTCATTCCTGTCAGCAACAAATCTGGAAGCCAGAAGTTTATAAATGTCTGTGCTGCAGGACCTCGTAGCCACAACTGCTCTCCTTAAACTTATGCATTTATGTATTTTGTGATCGCCTAAATTTATACTATGTTCTCGTATTTCCATGAAAATGAAAGGTGGAGGCAAAGGTTCTGAGAATTCAAAGATGTGTAGTGATGTGCCTCAGTGGGGGAAGGCTTCCCAAACACTGGATGAACTGCTGTGTATTATAAAGAACACTGCAAAGAATTTCTGAACATACATTATGTGACACATGTGCTCATAGACGATGTTTGGGAGAACAGCCATAGAGGTTTAAATTTTGAGAAGAATGAAGCAGATATAAATGTGTCATCAAGGGCAGAGTAAAGTGTGTTTGCTAAGTACAAATTCCAGAAAGAGCTGCCTGTTAAATTCTCTTTGAAAAATGCCTAAATTTAGTCATTTGCATGAACATATATGCGTGATATCCTTCTGAATGGAAAGGAATATGGGTGTCATCTCTGAATGAAGAGGTGATTTAATAGCTTGGTTGATCATATACATTGTTTAAACATGGAAATGCTCTGCAGTGGACTTTACTAAGTGGTGTAAAGGAGATGCCATAAATTGAAATTGTGCAGGGATATCAATAGCTTAGTCGTGAAGCGTTTTCTGCTTAGGGTGGATCAGAGGAGCATGGAAAGGATGTGGAAGTGACTGGAAGGACACAGTGTGCCAATAGCAGGACATACAACAGAGAGGGTCTTCCCTGAAAGTCAGGTAGTTCTTAGGGAAAGCATGAAGTTAAAGTTGTCTTCTGATTTCTTCCTTGAGGTGAAAAACACCAGCTCTGGTATGAATCAGTATTCCACATCCTTGTCAACCCATGAATTCTGTGTTCTTCACTTGAGATCTAATTTTGATTATCTCTAATTATGATCCAGTGTCATGAAGGTGAAATTTGAATTTTTTTTTGTAACAGAGATTGAACTCATGATCTCAAGCGTGCTAGGTAGCTACCTAGGTGTTCATGCTGCTGAGCTAAATACCCAGCTTTGAAATTGTATTCTGTGTACTGTGTATGATATTAACATTGTTCCTCAGAAAATGTTGAATATTGTGGAATTTTTCTATATTATATGGATATAATTTTTAAAGCAAACCAAAGGTGTCCTATGCAGTCACTTTTCAAGTTTCACATTGTCTGCGGGGTGTCTCAGTCAGGGTTTCTCTATTTGAGACAGCTCTGTAACTTAGGCTAGCCCCAAACTCAAGGAAGTTCTCCTGCATCAGCCTCCCAAGATATATTTCTTATATCTGAATGGAGAGTGATCACTTGGTGGCACTGAGCTCTAATTTGAAACTTGTACCTGCTTTCATTGTTTATACATTTTTTACATACAGCAGTTTTCCATGAACATTTGAGTTATTATTTATGTATCATATTTGATGTTATGTTTTGTTCCATGAAACCAAATTTAAATATCAAAATGCTGCTTAAGTATATTAAGAACAAAGGACTCAGTGGCCTAAATGAGATCTGAAGAGATATCATTGTTAGTACATCAAAGTGATTCATGAGATATTTGTCTGCCTCTGTGCTTTATGGATGCTGGTCCTGCATGCTCTCACTATGAGCTCTGCTGTAGAGACAGTGCACAGGGACTCTTGCAGTGACTCAGCATAAGAATCAGTGCTCCTATTTGGCTGTTACATTAGCTGTGAGTTGCAACAGAGCATTAAATTTGCTGTCTCCAAAAACGTGTATATACCAAAAATTAATCCCTGAGATGTGGAATTAAGATTGGAAGAAATCAGTGTCCATTCAGCTGTTTTGTTTGGTTTTATTTGTTTAGTTTAGTTTTGTTTTATTGAGACAAGTTTTCTCTATGTATATCAGCTAGATTTGAACCCTATATGGAGAACAGAATTGCCCTAAACTCAAAGCAACACTCCTGCCTCAGCCTCTTGAGTGTTCAGATTATAGATATGTGTGTTTTTACCCTAGAAAATATTGAGGCTTGTAACTTGGCTGTGTTGTAGCTTGGCATAATAGATGCCATCTTGAGCTTTGAATTTAACTAGTGCCCTGTATTTCACCCAGAAAAATGGAAAATTACTCAGTGTTGAAGTTCCAGGAGCAAAGCACAATGAGCTGTACCCAAAGAAAAAAATTAACCTGCTCAACTAAAGAAGCAGAATACAGTTGTCATCCAACCATTATTATAAGATTCTAGCTAAATGATTTCCAACAGGATCTTTTTGTGATTCTATCTTTTAAAACATCTGTAACTTTCCAGGTCAGAGCCTCTTGTTTAGATCTTGATATGGGGTTGGGGGTTCTGTGTACAGGTGGTCCTGAGATCAGCTATGAAATTCCACATTTCTCAATTGGGTTCCTATATTGGCTTCCTATATTATTGTTCCCAAACTCAACTCAAGCTGCAGAAACCTTTACTGACACAAGCACACCTCAGGATTAAATGATAGTGCCACTGAAATGAAAGAATAATTGTGAAAAAGAAAGGAGAAAAAAGACAAACACTATGTGCTATAATGCCCACCTATTTTCCCAAATATGAAGAAGCTGAAACAGGAGAATGGGCTTGTGTTCAATGACAGCCTAACCTGCATAGTGAGTGCAAGGCTGCCCAGAACTCCAAAGTGAGACCATGTCTCTAAATCAAAAAACTAAAATGAAAAAAACAACAACAAAGTAGACAGAAAGACTATTGAAAACAAACAAAAATAGAGCTGAGTGAAATTTGACTTATGTAAAATGGGAATTATTGAATGATGCTGGCAGAGGAAAGAAGGCCAGGTAGTGGCATGCAGTGGCATTCAGGAGGCAGTGACAAACACAGGCTTAGGAATGGCATCTATTGTGCTACAGCACAGCAGTGACCTCCTTCCTCCAATACATTTGCAGTTCACTAGAATGAGGACTTCTAAAAGCTCATGGAAATGTTAAACTCAGGGCAAACAAAGAGCTTGAAATTCAGGCTTTGGAACAATGCCTTTAGCAGACATTTCATATTTAAATTGAGATAAGAGAAATATAATCCTGCCCTGCTTGATATCAAATGCATCATTTAATGGCTGACAACATTGAGAAATGAAGTCACAAACCAAAAGAAGTTCAAAAATTGTCTTAGAAAAAAAGAGAGAATAGCTCTGAATTTTCAGGAGTGATCTTCAGTGTTTTGGCCACAGTCATATTGTCAGGGGTCATTTATACAGGATAGTCACAATGTGGGCAAACTGTGGGTCTCAAACTACAATCAATCTATAAGCTTGTAGGTGCTTAACTAATATTATTCATCAGGGGAACAAGTCAGCCAGAAAAGGTATGTGTAAAGAGCCAAGGCATTTGTGGGAACAATAGTCCAGTTGTTCTGGTCATTGATTATGGTAATTGATGCCTATCTGAACTTCCTGGAGGAGATGGTAACTGTAGTACATTTCAAGCTGTTGTTTTTCTTTTCAGGAGCATGTAGACATGGTCACTGCATCTTCACTTTCAGGTCTGGCTTTCTTCATCTGTGCCTGTAGCAGTGATTGTTGTGTTTAGTTTTTTGCATTGACTCTTTGAGGTTCCAGTTCCTCTCTGATTGTATATCAATTTCTGTCTAAATTGAAAACCTTTGCTAAAATCACAGTACTATTTGAATGAATAAAGTGAAATATTCATTAATACACACTGGGGATTTAGCTCAGCAGGCAGAAACGCCTGCCTGGATAGTGGTAGATTGTAACTTTGATCCCTAGTACCTAAAAAAAAAGTAATTTAAACTGCAAGGAAAGAAAATAATTGCATTTGTGAAAATGTAGGTTTACAAAATTTATACTACATATGTCAATGGCAAATTAAACATTGTTAATAGTCATATTTAGTATCTAAAGTTGTTGAGGCTGGGGATTGAGCTCAGTGATACAAGGAGCTGCCTATAGAGCACAAGGTCATGAGTTCAGTCCCTCATACAGAAAAAAAAAAATCACAGTTGTCAATGATGCAGTGCTATGAGCACATTTATTGAAACTAATACTTGGTATTTAATTGGCTCAATGTTTCTTTTGTGATCTATGAAATACCTGCAGATAACATGGCAACTACAGTGAATGATATACTGTCCCCTATAGGATTGCTATTTTCTGAGTTGTTTTTATTTTTTGTTTTCCCACAAACATGAAAGTTGAAAATGTTGGCTGATGCTAACTAGAAACACTGTGATAATCATTTTTTCAATTTAATGATATATTTCCCTATATTCATTAAGAACATTTTATTTGCTACAATTGCTCCAAGTCAAATTGATAAACAATTCTTAAAGTTACAGGCAGCTGAGTTAGTTAGAAATACAGGCAGCCATACCGTGATAAGATGGAATGAAGTTCCTGACCTTCTATGTCTGGTATGAGCTTGTGTTCTGTAAAACACAAGAATGAATTTTAGGAACAACAGAGTTGAAGAGCAGAATATATTTATTGAGAGAAAGAAAGTGATAATATTTTGCTCTAAAT